AAAGTTTAAAATGATTACATTAAATGAAACATAGGTGTTAAACGAGTCTGAAACGAGAAAAGTGCTATTGTTCTTAAACTAAGTTATTTTTTTCAGTTATGTATATAAATATTAATAATATTGAGTTTGGATCAAATTATGTGAAGTTAAAAAGTGTTAAATACATTGTTTGTTTTTGAAACTAATGCATCTCTAAAATCTAACAACTAAACATCAAGCTAAAAATAAGCATTTTGATAAAATAAAAAGATCTAGTTAGCTTCAGTCTTTATATATTGTTGTATATAAGTAAATAGTTATATTTCTTTGTATTTATTTTATGAGAAGTTAAATTATAGTATTTATTTACATTCTAATTTTATTTTGAATATTTTAGTTTGATATCTGAATTGAGCTAGTTACAAGTGAATTGTCCGCTAATGTTTACCGCAAGAGTAAAAATAATTTAGAAATTTTAAGTTTCAAAGTTAAATATTGTACATCACTTCTAAAGTGAAAATTGTATGTTGCAGTTAATTTGACAATTAGAGAATTTAGTTTTAAAAGTGAATTGTTTTGATAATAACATAATACATTGGTTTAAACCTAATAATAAGTAATAATAAGCAGGGTTTGAAAAAAATCCAGGTATTTTATAAAAAAACCCAACCTGCCTGGGTTTTATTGAAAAAACCCGTGGAAAATTGGGTTTTTTCATTTAGTGCTCATTAATTTTAAGTTTTACTGTGTAAATATTTTTATTAAAAAGTGTTGTATAAGCTTAAAAATAGAAATAAATCCAAAAAGTTATTTTAATTTTGTTATATGTATTTTATATTAAGTTTAAATAACGCATTATCACTAATACATATTTGAATCTTTATTGTAAGTAGCTCAAGCATTATAAAATATAAATGCAGTAATAAAAAAGGAACAGGCTTATTAATCTTTTTGTTTTCACTCGCATTTAATATATTTATTAAACACACATATTACCTATTATAAATTTATAATCAGTAAATAATTATAATCAGTAAAAACTAAAATTTCATCTGACTTTTGACTTTAGTAAAAAACTGAAATATTTAATGGTCTTCCATGTTTTTATAATATTAATAGAAAGTAATATTAAAATTACGTATAAATTATAAAGACTATCAGTTACTCGTCCCATTTTTTTCAAATAATTAACTCTAAGAAAATGATTTCATTTTTCGATAAATAATTTTAAAGAGTTCTCTTATAAAAAGTTTTAGCAGTTTAAAGTCAGAAAAATAAAATTGTTTAAATTTCTTATGTATCACTTAGTAAAAAAAAATTTTTTTTCAATTTTCTTTTCAGTTTTTTTAAACATAGGAATTAATAATAATAACCTGTTTATTAATATATAAAACATGCAACTATAGTTGAAAATTTGATCTTTTCAGACTATATTACTTAAATTTCTATTTGATTTAATTTCATTAATATATTAGTTTTTGAAAAAACCCACTTAAACCCATTTTCTTTACTTTACAAATATTAAAAACTGAATCATATAAATCATGCAACTCTATTTGACAAATTTATGCTGCACAATAAATTATATAAAATTAAATGTGCATCAATAAGTTTTAATAAAAAAGAATTTTTTTTTGTTGAAAAAACTAACTTATCGTTCCCAGTGGGTTTTTTCAAGGTGGACCCACCCAATAAAACCCGAGCGGGCTTTTTCAAAGTGGGCCCACTTAGCAAACCCTGATAATAAGTAATAATAAGTAAGTCACAAATAAGTTCATAAATAACTTTTCCTTTGTTTTCTATGCAAATGTTCATCCAAGGGGAAAGAAGTTATAAAATCTGAAATATCTGACTAACAAGAACATGGATAAAAGAAAAAAACATTTAACGATATAAATTAAAATTAAAAGCACGAGATTTTGATGGAACATCAAATATTAGTTGATTTTTGAGAGCATAGTTTTAGTTTTTGATTTTGAGGTTTTTATATAAAAAAAGAACTGTTTCTTTATATAGCTTGATTACGTTGCAATACTTTTTAGTCTGCAATAATTTGTTTCTGAGGATACTATTTCTACTGCTAATTTTTTACTGCCTACTATTTTTACTGCCTACAATTTAAATCTGCCTACTATTTTTTACAATTAGCCGTACTCAATACGTAGTTTAACAGTGTCCTGAATAAATTTTTATTTTGATGTGATATTCGAAATTTTGAATATTCTTTTTTTTTTTTTTTTTTTTTNTTTTTTTTTTTTTTTTTTGTATTTTACAGGACTAACTGCAGCCTCTATTTCTATGAAGGGAAAGAATTCGTGTGCTGCACCATTTTCCGGTAAGAATTTTATTTTCATGCTTTAACGATTTTAAAATCTCTTTAAATTGAATAAAATGTACTTTCTAGGTAATTGATGAAAATCTAATCACTTTATTAAACACAAATTTTATTATCCAGTTTAATAATTTTTAAACAAAATATTAAGAAAAAATACTATTCAAATTAGTTAAGTTTTCACTTAACACTTTAAAAACAAAATCAAACTATTAATATTATTTATAAATGAAATCAGATTAAAGTAAGCATATTTCTTGCGCACATGTTAGTTAGTATAAAATATAATCAAAAATAGACATTGCTTTTCTATACATAATCATAAACGCGGCTGTGTGTGTCTGTCTGTAATTACAATATATCGCCCCAGAAGCCTCGCCCAGGCACGAAACTCGGCACATAATTGTGTTTTGACATAATGAAGAAGTATTTTTTTTTCTTCAGAAATTCGGATTAGTTTTTTAGTTATCAGTCATTTTGTAAGAAAACCTAAGCTTTTTCGTCTTCAAAGAGCCATATTCAAAAAACTATTAAAAAATGCATATCTCTTATAAATGTATGCTAATGCGAACCTTACAATTGAAATATTAATTTTCGACAACTTAAACCAATAATATACGAAGGAATTAATAATTTAATTGTAAGGTTCGCATTAGTTTACATTTATCA